GATATGTCTTGGCAACTAAACTTTATTGTAGTTTGGTAAACCATCAAGTCCAGGATGAGACGAAGACCGTTGACTCACCAAAGACCTACCACCTCTTGATTGTCAAAGACCTTCATGATATCGTCCGGTGTGTCCGGTTCGAATAGTTTCCCCCGAGGCACACTTCAACGGAAACAATGTGAGACTGCAAGCAACATCCACTTCATGATGAAGCCTATGGTAACATTGGACAAATATGGGAAAATGTGGCAGATCTGAAAAGATCTGCTACTGTCCCACAGATATCCGGTGATTCGCTACAAGCTGAGTTGCTACTAGAGTTGTAGCTCTCGCCAATCTCCAGAGGTATTGCTGGTGTTTACCATCGGCAATCACTCCCAGCTTCTCTCATTGTCCAACAGTGGTGAGATCCTAGGGATGTCTACACAATACAAAGGAACCACTGTGTCAAACTCGTTCGGGAGGATAAACTGAAGAACCAACAAGGTCTAGTGGGCAAGTTTTGCTCCAATCCCAAACTGCTATACAGACACGTTGACAATTTGCGCCGTGTTAAGCGCGGTCTTCCTGCTCCGTACACAGCATGCGGGTTAGCCCAAACCGTACAAGAGGCGGCCAACGTTCTTGGACAACAATTTGGCCGTACCTTCCAAAGCGTACAAACATCATACATCCTGTCTAAGCAGATAACGCCGCCATCAGGGCTTAATCACATATCGTTTACTTCCTCGTCTGCACTGAAGAGGATGATGTCTCTGCGCGAGTTCAGCTCCCCGGTTGCGGACGGCATTCGCCCGAAGGCGTTGAAAGTTGCTGCCATGAGTTTGGCGGCGCCACTAGCAATTTTCTTTCAACGATGTCTGAACGAGATGCATGTCCACACGGTGTGCAATCATCACGGAATCATCACGCCTATCTACAAAAGTGGCAGTCGTGCAGAACCAGCAGATTACCCCCCGATAACACTACTTCCTGTGATCTCCAAGGTTATGGAGTTCATTGTAGCTGAGGCTTTGATGGAGTACTTGGAGAACAACAAAATTCTCGTTCCGGAGCGGCACGGATTTCGCCAAAATTGCTCCTATACCATTAATCTGTTAATTGCTCGTGCAAGCTGGACGGAATCTGTGGACGCTGGTGTAGAAGTCGACATGGCCTACTTGGATTTCTCAAACGCATTCGACCGTCTAGACTATCGCATTCTATTCTACAAACTCCAGAAATATGGAATCAGCGATCCTGTTCTGGGCTGGATAGGAGACTTTCTCATGCAACGTCACCTGAATGTGAGGGTTCGAAGCAAGCAATCAAAATCCATCGAAGTTCAGTGCGGCGTACCTCAGGGCTCGGTACTTGGACTCCGCCCGTTCCTGGTTTTCATAGGTCATTTCGCGTGCGTACTATCTTCTAACTGTTTGCTATTTGCTGATGATCTAAGGGTATGGCGTACTGTAGCTGCAGTGGTGGATCACACAGCGTTACAGGAGGACTTGGACAAAGCGTACACATGGTCCATCGAGAACATGCTGCATTCCAACGTGAGTAAGTGCAAAGTTCTCAGCATACGGCACAAGAGTATGCACAAGTACCGCCCAAGACCATAAATTCTACAGCGTGCTTCTTACGAGTGCGATCTCGGCGTGATAGTTCAAGATGACCTCGGTTGTTTGAGACAGACTGAAAAGGCAGCTAAGAAAGCAAACCAGTACCTGGACCTTCTTCGCAGAGCTTTCGGGACGTTTGACTCTTCAGTCTTTCCAAAAATGCTCAGTGCGTACGTGAGGCCGCACGCGGAATACGCTATTCAAGCGTGGCAACCCTGGCTCAAGCACCATCTCACCGCGCTCGATACTGCACAACGTAGGGCAACGAAGAGCGTCAGAGGTTTGGCCAGCATCCCCTACCCACTCACGCTGAAGACTCTCAAAACATACAGTGGACTTTATCGGTGTCTAAGGGGTGGTCTCATAAGGTGTACCAGATCCTGAGAAACCCCAGCGACCCATGTCATTCCCTTCTAATACTCAGTCAAAACACCACGCTAAGAGGTCATCAGTTTAAGCTGGTCACGCAGTACAGCCGACTGGAATGTCGGCGAAACTATTTCTCCCTTCGAGTGTCACAGCCTTGGAACGCCCTCCCGGAACATGTAATTAATGCACCCACGCTATCCCTTTTCAAAAAACGCCTTGACGATACTCTGTCACATTTACACTACGTGCTATAGCCCATGAACACCAGATGCTGGCACTAATGCACAACAGACAGTGGATAGTGCCATAACCCTACTCGAGAATGAGTCACTCCAAACCCCTTGCACGAAATTTGATAAACGCTACTACTATAGAAACTGGATTTCTGTATCCTGTCGACCCAAGATAGTTGCACACGAGTAAGCGTTGTCCTTGCTATCTTTTTTATTTTTCTCGCACCTATTATGTGATCAATAACCACTCCCCTTATTGCTTTGTGTGCGTACATTCTCATTTCAAACTCCCTTTATACGACAGTGCAGTTAAATCTGTAATCGCCCGAACTGACGACTCCATAATCCCTTCTCTATCTTTTTTTCACGCTACGGGACATGTCAAGCACCTGCTTTTTTACCCGTTATAAATCATTGTTCATTGTTCTCCCAACGCTGCACTCCACGACTGACCGGTTTCGTCCTGCTTTGAACTTGTCAGGTAGAGATAGCTTGAGCTAAGAGGGGAGCCCAACACAGTGGTTGGCGGCTTTCGTTTTAGTCACTAGGCCAGAGCTCCACAGCAGTGCTTGACACAGTGGTTAGAAGTTCATTATTGGGTTTTGGAGTGCCCGGCCGGGTGTCTGGATTGCGACACTCAATCTCGATTGTTTGCTTTGCAGGAAACCTAGGCTGTTTCGATCACTGGGACTGCATCCGAAGTGGAGAGTTTCAGAGCTGCTTTCTCCCAACACTGCACGCTGATTTTTGCGGACAGACTCAGGGTGGTGTGCTTCACTAAATGGTCGTTTGCTAACCCGGCCCTGGGCATTGATTTCTGTCACCAGTTCAGTCATGAAGGGGAATTCTTTGTCATCTTATAGACACTTTTGTCACAGGTGGGCATACGGGCTGCTTTCCCACTGGATCGACATACGTACTGCATTAAATAGGTAAATGCTTAAATAACACTTATTAGGCCGGTGGCCGAAAATATTACGCGCTTTTCTTTGTTATCCGGAGGGCACCGGTTCGAATCCGAATAGGTGCAAGAGACCTTGCGGGATACCCGGCCCACGCACGGCATATGGCCGTCGCTTGGCCGCGAAGCCTATGCGCGAAGTGTCGGCGTACTGTGGATGCCTTATTTTCAACGTCTGTGAGATACATCTGTGTCCGCGTGATCAATCTTACATGTCGTATTATCGGAGAATTTCACACACTCGTTGTATGCAGTTGGGTTTTGTGATATTCATTTCCCGATTCGCTCGTCATTTCAGAGACTTTGAATATTTATACGACATGTGTGAGTACTGATGAACCAGCCAGGGTTTGCGCTGCACCATCAACAGTTTTGCCAATACGCGTGCTATCGATATACGACCGAATGACGCGAGGGGGTCACTACTGTTTTCAACTCAACTCTCGTTCCTCCAACATGCTTATCCCTTACAGGTAAATGTATCCGAGCGGAGAATGCTGTAAGGTCAAACCAGACAGAAACTGTGGATGCGGCATCACTACGGGGGGGATGGGGTATACTCATATTTCTTCATGAGTTTCTTATCTAACATTTCTAACTCGAGGTTCTGTTCGCTTTAGATCAGTAGTACTCAACCTTTATGAAGTTATTACCCCCAAGGCGACTTTGCGATAAACCATTACCCCTACGGATATTATAGTTCATAAAGCCAATTAAAGATTGCATTTTTTGCTCTAATTTACGGTAAATGGATATTTCATTACGTTATCGTTCAGATAGGGAAACATCTATTTTGAGCAACGTTTCATTAAATCAAGAGGTTATGTAAGTTAATATGACAATTGATATTACTTAGTTCCAAACATTTATTGTGCGGTCGCGTCTTTTTCACATCGTACGCTGTGCTCCAAGTTCATTCGGTTCCTTGCTTTGGTGTGTGACCCCTGATCAAACATGTGCAGATGTCAGTGGCTTCTCATTTGTTCCAACCATCCCTTTCAAGTCCGCCGTGGATGACAGCTTCCCACCACCATTCGGTCTCGATACATCCTGAACACTACTTGCCTGTTTTGTCTCTTCTACCTTGTAACCATTCACTCGTTCCTTTACCCCGTCGACTGACCTCTGCTCCCACCTTAGTGTTCATTCAACTCTGTAATTCCATCCGGTGAACGACTACTTGAATCAACGATCGCTGAACGAGCCAATAGATGTGCTATCGAGCTGCGCTATTTTGCAGACTTGCATTCTTAGCTTAGAGAATAACGTTTATTATTCAAAATTGTCTAATTCTTTGAATACTGACTAACAATTAGTCACTGATGGCGAATTAATAGTGATCATATAGTTAATTGTGATGATACAGATGACTTTGTAATTTTTATTGGCGACAACTTCATGACCCAATCCTCCTACAGGCATTTATCCCCTTTTCCGTAATATTCCATTTCGCCCCCTTGGAAGTAATTACCCCCAGGTTGAGTACCACTGCTTTAGATGAAAAGCGCATAACTTGTCACCAGAAACACCACCTCACCAAAGCATTCGTTCAGCTTTGCTAGGTCTAACTGAATTTTCGCAGAGCCGTACAAACGCTGATCTCTCATACGTCTGGTTTCGCGTCCCCGGGAACGACCCGAACTCTTCTACGCTCCGTCCTAATGTTGTTTTTCCATAGCTTTATTCATTAGAAAAGCACAAGGGCATTCACTACTGTTCCCCTTTTCAATGTGTTAGCCACCGCATCGTACTGGATTTTCATAAATGCTCTAGTCACCGCCATCAGACTCATCTGATTTCACTTTTTCTCCTCCATTCTGTACCGTGTCACAGATGCTTGAGATGGAATTGCGCCGAATTGAAGTCGATCAGTGTAACGCTCATGTGAACCGACTCACCGCTTTTCTACCCGATTCTTTTACGAGACGTGGAGGGGATAATGACGCACTACTTGCATTGCTTCTCATCGACCGTTTGGCCGCCAAGACGGATCACTTGGCCAGTCATGTTAGTGATCACTTTTTTAGTCCTTTCACACTTCACTGTGGTTTGTTTGCTTTGCTCTTGGTGTACATGCATTCTTAACCGCTTTGTCATTACTTCAGTTGTCCGAGCGATATCCTTTACCATCCTGTATCCCTGGACAAGCAAGACCTCAGCCTGCGTTATCGACTGTCACCCAGCCTCCGGAAGCCACACCTATGGAGCAATCCAGTGATGTGGGCGACATCCGCCTTCCAGGATCTGGTCAACCTTTGCCCCCGATGACGAAAAACAAAGCGGAGTTTTACAGCATGATCACATACTTGGTATTCATGCTACGTTGCTGGTCTTCACTTCTGACATACTACAAGCAGTGAGTTCATTTCCATCCTTCGAAATAGCTTAGAAACGTTAGCCGTGGCAAGTTCTAGATTCCGCGTCCTGGTTTTTTGCCACTGGTTCAGTCATCACTTTTGCTTTACCAGCTTATATATGATTGGCGGTATCCGTGCCCGGATTTGCCTGTCACTGTGGCCTCCACGAGGACAGTTACAGGACGCGTGCGCCTACACAGGGACCATGGGTGGCTTGCGTTGCACCAACCAATCCAGTGTAAATCCGAAGGAATAAGACCGGGAGGCATGTGGATGGGAGCCACGTTTCATCAATGGAGCTGACCCACACTCCTTCACAGGCTAAAACAAGCACGCGGTATTTGAGGAAGCAAGCGCACACAAGGCGGTGGCTGGACCGTAGTCCGCTCCACACTGAGTGCATGGAACCACTCTTTGAGCCTAGTACGACCACAAGGACCGTGCACCCCGTCCCCTGCAGCAACGGTTCACAGTTTCCTGAAGCCAGTATTTGAGGTAGGGGGTATTTAACAGACAACCTGTCAACATTCACATCGCGTAGCCACGCCGGGTATGTCAAGCAACAACCGGACACTTGAAATGATAAAATCAAATCAAGTAAATCGAATAAAGACAACATAATTCTTTCTAACTTACCAAATAAAGTTGATGGGTTATCAGCAAATCCGCGACTAATTCAAAATGACGTAAGAAGGTATCAACAAATATGCAACAAACGAGAAAAAATAAACGAAGTTAACCACCTTTCGTTTAAGCGACATGTGTAATTTACTAGAATATTATCCGGGTGTGCTTTAATGTCCACAATATAGCACACCACTCAACTGAAATAAAGAAACTCATCACGCAAGCACGCGGTTAGTAAATCGAATATAAGCGCACGCAGCGTACCTACAAAGGCTGCGCCGGTTTTACCTACATTCTCAGCAGGACTCGTCGTCGTCTCGGAGGTGGCCCCGAGTGGCCTCCCTCATGGCTAACTAGGCCTGCCTGACTCAGGCACTCGCGACCGCATGGGCTACAGCACCATACGCTTGTCGCTTCCGCAACTGCCGCTTCTTCTCTACATGCACGAGGGCTTTTTCTTGCACCTCTGCAATTGCCTGCCTGACTCAGGCACTCGCGACCGCATGTGCTACAGCACCATGCGCTCGATGTCGGTGCCTGCCGCTTCCGCACTTGCCGCTTCTTCTCTGCATGCATGAGGACTTTCTCCCGCACTTCAGCAACTGCCTTCGTGATGAGATCGCGCCATACGCGCCGATCAACCGCTTTCGATTCCCATGACCTGCAATCAAGATTAGAACGTGTGTATGTATGTAATCTCAACAGTCTAGTAACTAGACATAGAGCCAAGAAAACCATGGAAATCAGTGTATAAGAGACAGTCATTGCGTCATAATCGTCATTACATGCTAGCTGAAGGTGGGCAACACACTTCAGCTAATATGCCGCAAGAAAATGGAATATTTTGACAAAAATACAGAACAAAACATTTTTAGTTTGTTTGTCACACGCCGGTTTTTCTCTTTTTTTGTCATTTTCAATTTTTGTAAAATTAAACATGTGAATCAACACAACACTGTACACAATTCTTCCATTGATTCCGGTTGCGGGCCATGTCTTCAAGTCTCCTAAGCCATTGGCACTCGCCATCTTTGGGTCCCCATCCTGGAAGACGTACGGGCCCAACAGCGGCTAGACACGACGTCAGCGATTTCATGTGCTACCGCCAAGTGGAAGGCTGACCACCACGCGGTCGCTTCCAGCCAGGTTCTTGACGAGCGAATAGAGCGCGACGCGGTAGACGCTCAGGTGCCATGCGTAGGACATGACCGAGCCATCTTAACTGGCGCAACAAAACCAGTTTGTTGAAGGAAATACTTGCATTCCCCAAGACGCGACGTCGAACGTCATTACTGGTAACTCGATGTTGCCACCGAACACGAGCGATCCTCCTTAAGCAACCGTTATCGAAGGCAGAAAGACGACGCATGTCTTCCACGCGAATCGGCCAGGACTCGCTCCCGTACAACAATACTGAGCGAACGGACGCGCTGTAAACTCGGCCCTTTAGTGAGAATGAGACATCGCGACGACGCCACAAGTGCCTCAGATTGACAAATGCTGATCGAGCTTTAGCGATACGAAGCGAAACTTCTTTGTTGATTGTGCCGTCAGCGGAAACACAGCTCTCAAGGTAGACGAAACTATCTACCTGTTCAAGTTGTGCACCTTGGAGAGTGAGCACGGGTGCAGGTGAAAGCCAATCCTTGAGCAGTACTTTACACTTCGATGGGGCGAAGCTCATGCCATACTTAGATGCTTCAACCGCCAAACGATCCAGAATGAGTTGCATACCCTGAGGATCGTCACCAAGTAAGGCGATATCATCAGAACGTGTGAGACTCACTTTGATCATGTACTGGTAACGTAACTTTGGTTTCCCCACGTGCCGCTTCCCAATAATCAGCTGACCTTATAAGAGTTATTTCGGTATCCGAGTCGAATCCATACGCCACACATGACCGAGCCATCTCAGATGTCTCAGTAAAATGATGCAGTCCACTGCATACATCCCACTTCGGCGCAATACTTCCGTGTCTGCAACTCTGGCGCCCCAACCGATGCGCAAAATTCGTCGCAGACACTGCTGATGGAACCGCTCGAGATATCGCACATCCCGCCGGTACATCGTCCAAGTTTCACTGCCGTATAGAAGAACGGACAGTACCATGGATTTGTACACCATCAGCTTTGTGCCAATGCTAAGCTGATGGTTGTTCCACACTCGGTACTTAAGCTTCCCGAATGCCGCTGCTGCCTTCGACACGCGAATACGCAACTCGACGTGTAGCTGCTGATCAGTCGACATCACACTCCCAAGGTAGCAGAAGCGGGAGGTGGTTTCCAATACTTCAGCACCAATGCTGATTCGCGGCAATATTGAAGACTGCACCTCCGGTGAAGGCTGAAAGAGACAGACAGTTTTGCTTATGTTGATGGTGAGCCCGAATTCGGCCGCTGTCGAAGCCCGAACAGTAGTGATGTGCTGCAACTCATCCGCACTGTGTGAAAACAACGCACAGTCGTCAGCAAATAGCAACATACGGATAGTTGTCTCACAGACTAGAGTTCTCGCACCGAAACGACGGATGTTCAGCAACCCACCATCAATACGGTGCTCCACACGAACACCGTAAACAACAGCATATATATATATATATATATATATATATATATATATATATATATATGTCTAGTGGGCCATGAGCTATGCCATTAGGGGCCACTACAGAAGCGACGACGGGTCCTACAGAGAATTACGGCGAGCTGGCGCAGCGTTTGTAGGCACGCTGAATTCGATTTACTAACCGCGTGCTTGCATGCTAAGTCTCTTTATTTCAGGTGATGGGTTTACAGTTTTTACCTTAATGCTTTTCTTTCTCATATAAATATCTCCCTGTACTCTATTTCATTAACTTGCACACATCGCCAAAGCCAATTGTATTCGATTTCCATAACATTTTTGCGTTCGTGGCATTCCGTGAACTATACTTCCTGACCTCGCGCACTTAGCTAGGATTTGTTTGTAATCAACTTATTACATATGCTATTTAATTAAGGTTTATATCGCCGTTTCCTTATGCATTAATCGAGTTTTTCTCTTTTTCTTTCTCTCTTTCAAGTGTTTGGCTATTGTTTGATATCCCCGGTGTGGATGCGCTTGATGTGCATGTTGACAAGGTGCCTACCTGTCTATTACCCACTACCTCGTCCATACTGGCTCCAGGAGACAGTTGGTCGTTGCTGGAGGGGACGGGGTGCACGGTCCTTGTGGCCGTGTTAGGCCCGAAGAGTGGTTCCATGGACTCAGTGTGGAGTGGACCACGGTCCAGCCACCGCCTTGTGTGCGGTTGATTCCCCAAATACAGCGTGCTTGTGTTTGCCTGTGAAGGAGTGTGGGCCGGCTCCGTTGATGGAACGTGGTTCCCAGCCGCATGCCTCCCGGTCTTATTCCTTCGGGTTTACACTGGATATGGGGTATGTGGTTGGAGCTGTGGATGGTGCAGCGCAAGCCATCCATGGTCCCTCTGTAGGCGCAGGCGTCCTGTGGCTTGCCACAGTGACAGGCAAATCCGAAACCGGATGCCGCCAACTATATATATATATATATATATATATATATATATATATATATATATATATATATATATATATATATATATATGTATATATATATATATATGGTGATGATCTTATTACCTTACTTGATCGGCAGATGAGGTGGGATAACTTGCATTGATTCGGGCACCGCTTACAATCATCCACTTGCCGCTTACCAAAAAGGACATTGTCTTGCTTTCCGGGTCTGGAATGATGTGAGAAGGGGGTAAACCTCGGCCTGGTAGCAGGGCATGCAATCAGTAAACACCACATTTGGTACCCCTGATCCGTCTCGCTCCCGTGGCTGCAGCTTACACGACTTGCAATTTGCTCGAGTTCCTACAGGACCTGGCTCACAGTAGGCATCAGTGGCGCATTTGTCGTTGGCTGATTAGATTACTTTTTTAAAATGCATCCCATGCTTGGTTTTCTGCGATGTGTGATTAATTATGATACCGGTTAGTGAAAGCTGCATGAGAGCTTTCTTGTCTATATAACCTTTCCTTCTCACGGTAGCCAACTATTTGTGAGACCAAGTGTTGTCTTCAGTGTTTAAGCACCTTGGTATTCTTTACTGTAGCTTGAATTTCATTTATGGGCTCATACCTTAGTTTTTAGCTGTATGACAGGAAGCCAATGGTATAAAGTATCGATGTCTTTGTTAATGCTGATGCTGGTAATTGGGGGGCTCATCTGATACATAGCTACCTTTTACTCAACAATGAGAGCGTTGTCGTGTTCACTGAGTTGAGCATTTCCGTTGCAGACGTTTCGTTTTCAAGCTAAGCAACATGCTAAGTGCGGCCATCAAGTCCTGATTCGCAGTGTT